AAATCAGTGGGGTGGAGGAGCAGGGTTTGGGATCAGGCCCATTCTCAGGAAATCAGTGGGGTGGAGGAGCAGGGTTTGGGATCAGGGCCGTTCTGCCATTCTCAAATCAGGAAATCAGCGGGGTGGCAGGAGCTGGGCTCGTGGAGGTGCAGGATTTGGGATCCCATGATTAAATCAGGAAATCAGCGGGGTGGCAGGAGCTGGGCTCGTGTAAGGGATGCAGGATTTGGGATCAGGGCCGTTCTGCCATAATTAAATCAGGAAATCAGTGGGGTGGCAGGAGCTGGGCTCTCAGGGCTGTGGCACAGGCGCTGATTTTGGGGTGATGAGGTTTTTTCACCCACTTTTCTCCGTGTCCTGCTGACCCAGCGGACGAGGGGCTCTCTCTGAGCCCCTGGGATCCTCCTCTATAATTTGAATCCAGAATTTCCCTCCATAGCTCCCAAACACCTCCGTCTCTTCCTTTGCTGCAGTTCAGGAATTGCCCTTCACCCCGAGACCTTAAATAATTCCATTTACACCAACCTGGGGCTTTAAAAACCTCCCCTCATCCTCCTTTGCAGCAATAAAATCAAACACAGCGACCAAAACAAACCCAAACCCAAATCATCTTGGGGAGGCCTCGGAAATCCCGGAATCCCTACGGGAATTTTTGGATATTTGGGCATTTTTGGATATTTGGAACCTCCTGAAGGCTGCAGGAAACCAAACCTGCTCCTTGTAGGGGTTTAGGGTCACTCAGTGGGGAAAAAGGGGGGTTGGGTCACAGGGTGGTCCTGGAGGGCTTTCCCAGCTCCGTAATTCTGGGAGGACGTGGAGCAGCAATTTAGGGCTGTGCGCACCTCTAAAAATCACATAAAAATCACATAAAAATCACGTAAAAATCACATAAAAATCACATAAAAATCACATAAAAATAACGTAAAAATAACGTTAAAATAACAAAAATCACATAAAAATCACGTAAAAATCGCATAAAAATCACATTAAAAACACATAAAAATCACATACAAATCACATAAAAATCACGTAAAAATCACGTAAAAATCACATAAAAATCACATAAAAATCACATAAAAATCAATCACATAAAAATCACATAAAAATCAATCACATAAAAATCACATAAAAATCACATAAAAATCAGATAAATATCAACATAAAAATCACATTAAAATCACATTAAAATCCCATAAAAATCCCGTAAAAATCACGTAAAAATCCCATAAAAATCACAAAAAAATCACATAAAAATCACATAAAAATCTCGTAAAAATCACATAAAAATCGCATAAAAATCGCTTAAAAATCCCATAAAAATCACATAAAAATCCCATAAAAATCACATAAAAATCACATAAAAATCACGTAAAAATCACGTAAAAATCACATAAAAATCACATAAAAATCACGTAAAAATCACATAAAAATCACGTAAAAATCACGTAAAAATCACATAAAAATCACGTAAAAATCACATAAAAATCCCATAAAAATCAGATAAATATCACATAAAAATCACATAAAAAACCACATAAAAATCACAGTTTTTCCTTTTGAGCCTTCACCTGCTGAAGGAAAGACC